AATCAGAATTGACAATGACATTAGTTGAACACAAAATGATTAATTATTTGGAAATTCAGTGAAATTGGTACGAATTCGGGAAGGAAATTATATGTTTCACATGACAGGAAAGAAGATTCAATATCTTGGCTGGTTTCCTATAGTCACGGTACGCCTGGGCTATGAAGCGCCAGCCAAGGCTTTAAATCTTGCTCTTTTCTGCCTAGTAAAACAAATAATTATTTTCTCCGATCGACGGTAAAAGTTGCTTTTCAATGACACTTGACAGGCACAAGAGGTTTACTTTTACTGTGGAGGCAGAAGAAGTTTAATTCCAAGTTCCAAGTAATACAGTGTGACCCACTTCAAATGGAACCACCCCTGTATCTCATGTAATCGTTAGGTAAGGATCCTGAAATTTGCTGGAGCGAGAGATATACCAAAAATGCACTCTATGACCAAGTGGGGTCATCTTCAGTGATATACACTGCTCGCCAACAGCCATGGAACCATCCCCGGAAAATGATATTAGGAGTCAAAATAAGTTGAAAATCACTTCGGATTCGGAATCAGGACGCCCAATTCACTAACTTTTCATATTTTTCCAGTGAAATTTTCAGTTCAGAAAAATTAAATTTTGTCCCATTTCTCATGGAAGCACCTCCGTATCCCACGTAATTATTGAGGTAGGATTCTGAAATTTGCAGGAGGAAGCGAAAGTCCAAAGATGAAGTCAATTACGTAAGATACGGGGGTGCTTCCGTGAAAAGTGCGACAAAATTTAATTTTTCAGAACTGAAAATTTTTCAGGAAAAATATAAATAGTTAGTGTATTGGGCGTCCTGATTCTGAATCTGAAGTGATGTTCAACCTATTTTGACTCCTAATATCATTTTCCGGAAATTGGGGTGGTTCCATGGCTGTTGGCGAGCAGTGTATATCACTGAAGATGACCCCACTTGGTCATAGAGTGCATTTTTGGTATATCTCTCGCTGCAGCAAATTTCAGGATCCTTACCTAACGATTACATGAGATACAGGGGTGGTTCCATTAGAAGTGGGTCACACTGTATATGGAATCAAATTATATGGTAATCAAAATTGACAATAACATTGCTTGAACACAAAATGGAAATCATTTGGAATTTGCGTGACATTGAAACGAATTTGGAGAAAAAATTCCATGTTTCACATGACACACATCATGCTTTTTGAATTGTAATTTTTAAAAAGAGGCATGAAGGCACATTGCCGCAACGTATCTGTGACATGAAGAATCTCACTGAATAACATCACAAAGAAACAATGTAATATAACAGTTATGTTTAAGCTATGTTTTCATGTTTAGTAGGCACTTATATTTCATAAAATGTCAATTGTATCTCAGAATAGTCATTTGAATTTCAGGAAGCTCAGAAGAGTCTATATTGAATTTCAGAAAGCGTCCATTGTATCCCAAATGAATGGGAATGCAGAGAAGAACTCAATGCCGTTTCAGAACATAACAAAATTACCCTGTTATGGGTTTCAGGACATCGTAGGGAACGAAAAAGCTGATGAACTGACAAGAACCGGCTCATCAACTCCATACATTGGCCCATAACCCGTACTTGGGATCACAAAAACAGCTATACCCGAGGCTACATACGGGACTGGATCAAGCGAGAACATAAGGAGCGATGGACTGAAGCCCCTCATATGCACCACGGGAAAGTATTCATGAAAGAACCGTAGAAAAATAAATCTGAAGAACTACTCGAGATGAGTAGGAACCAAGTCAGAACAATAACGGGACTTCTCACTGGTCACAGTCCAACGAGAGGACACCTGAATAAAAAGGGACTGTACAATGGAGGACTTCTCTGCAGACAATGCGGTAAAGGGGCAGAAACGGCCAAACACTCATTAATAGAATGCGAGGCATTGGATCGCAAAAGACAAGAAATATTCGGGCAGCCTAGGCTGACTCTCGAAGAATAAAACAGTCATTCGCTGAAGAACCTGTACAGACTTGGTGCCAGGGAACAAGAGCTACGGAATGGGTGCTGTAAAATAAACTGGAACGCAGAAAAAGCCCAGAAGGCTGAAGTGTAGCCGGTGATCTTAAATGACATTTTTTGAACTACGAATGCACTAGGGAAAATTCCTCTCAACCATAGTCAGAAATCGAATTATTCTAGCAAGAAACTCTGATAGCATAGGGGACAAGCGAGTTATCACCTGTGATTATAAAGTCGACTTTGCTGATTATGACCCACCTGCGATTATTAGATATAGAACCTTGCTGCCACTAGCGAGTGCAGCTGTATATTGCTATTAGACAATGTTTCTGTAGTAGGTATCTGACTTTGCTACCGCTAGTGAGTGCATCTAATAATGGGAGTTGGGCAATGTTATAATCGTATAGGTAGGGAACTTTGCTACTCTTGATGGGTGCTCATATTGATAGTTGCATGATCTTCTTACTGTATATAGTTATTCAGTCATTTTCCAGGATTGCTGTCATCAGAGAAGGTGAAATTTTGACTGATCAAATTTCCCCATAATTTCCACCCTGATGTTTGGTATGAATAGCAATTTATTGATTCCTAAAGAAAATTTCGGACCATAGATCTTTGAAAAATTCAATAGATCAATTGATTTATGCACCCTCAGGAGAAACAAAAGGTTTTTGAGTAATTGATGAAAAAAAAAAATTTCTTTTTCTTTTTGAAACCATTGTATTTCGAAAACTAGGCAAGTTATCACAGATGCGTGCAGGAAAACAAAATGTTACTAGTAAAATCATTCAAATAATTTCATAACCTGGAGATTTTTGCTCACAATAAGTTTTTAGACCACATTCTACAGAGAAGCTCTGGAACATATTTGACAATTTTAAAGTTTGATGGAAATGTTGAATGTAAAATATTTAGATTTCAGTCGAAATACCTCGAAAATACTCACCATCATCATTCCATCGGTAATAACTGTGTAGCACTCAGATCTACGAAAGCACTGAAAGGGCCACAGGAAATCTTCTCATTTGTCCAAGAATGTTTTCATTTTATATTTGAATTCAGATTCAGATTTTAAATATTGAATTTAATTCAAGAGGGGAAGTATTCGTAACTGTCGTGTCGTCGAGATTGTTGTCCTGTACATGGGTTTGCATCAAGAGTCCAACTGTGAATGATTGATGAAGCAAGATGTCTGACAACTGCTTATACAGGGTGTTTCATAATTGAATGTCAATATTTGGGGAGGCGATTTTTGGGCCCATTCTAAGAAGAAAGTTTCATATGAACGTATGACCTAAACATCCTAACTTTTGAGATACAGGGTGGTAAAGTTCTCAAAAATTAATAGTTTTTTATTAATATCTGTAATACCACTTCAGATATTCTGATGAAATTTGGCATACATGTACTATGTATCAAGATGCATCAGTAAGCGTACCACATTTTTTGTTGTTGCCACCAGTGGCGTTCGTATGGAATTTCACATACCTATTTTGGCAGACATTAATGGTACGCCACTGATTAATCTCCAAATTGAAATCATTCCTGAAATTCCCAAACATTTCTAAGCAAATTTGATCACTACAATTTTTTCAATCCGATGCACGGTTTTCGCTTAAAAATATAACAAGCTTTTTACTACATGATTATAGCAATATCGTTAATATGACAATATCACAATGCAGAGAACTAGATTTTATTTCTTAGATCAAATTTCAGAAATACAATTCATAGTTTATGAACTTCGTATTCATATTTGGTATTTTGGAATTATCACTTCTCATTGTAGTAGGCTATATTAATTTTCGAGAATTTTACCACCCTGTATCTCAAAAGTTGGGATGTTTAGGTCATATGTTCATATGAAACTTTCTTCTTAGAATGGGCCCAAGAATCGCCTCCTCGAATATTGACATTCAATTATGAAACACCCTGTATAGAGGGGGAGAAATCAGCAAAATATCGAATAACGATAAGTAGGCGCTAAATAACCTTGAGTAGGCTCATCAAATATTATTTTCGTGGCAGGCTGACAGTTGTATTATTGGTAGTGAGTGCAGTTCTATGTGATGAACCTCGCAGCCACAAGCATATAGCTACACTAGTAGTAGTTCAGCTAGACAATTATAAAAAAATGATGCTGTCCCAGACTGACTGGCTGGCTGCCTGATAGCGACAGCAGTATTCCTTCCGCTGGCAGGAAATTCACTTTCAGCAAAGTCGTTATTGCTATCATAAGGATTTCAAGGTGTTGCTTCTATTCGAAAATGTATAACGGTAATATGATTTATTGTAATGGTGGCAAGAAATATCTCAGAAAAACTCTAATAGCACAATTTTCCTCACTGTGACACTTTCTGAAACTCATTTGACTGTTCTGAATAATACAATTGACACTCTATGAAATACAAGTGACTAAACTAAAATACAATTGACGCTTTCTGAAATTCAATTGACTATTCTGAAATACAATTTATGCTTCCTGAAATACAAGTGACTATTCTGAAATACATCAATTGTCGCTTTCTGAAATACAAATGACTATCCTGAAATACAATTGACGCTTTCTGATATTCAAATGTCTATTCTGAAATACAATTGATGCTTCCTGAAATACAAATGACTCTTTCTGAAATTGAATTAAAATTCAACCGTGAAAGGTGTAGTGTCTATGACTGAAAATGGTAGTCGGTATACATGCTCGATGGTTCCTTGAGCCTTCCTAGCGAACACCCAGTATATTTCATTTCTCATTCCATCGGAAAGTCAATACCACGTAACTTTTTTTGTTTTTCAACGCGTTCTTAATTGACTCATTCTCCCTCTCATTCTGGAATCCGTCCTGTTTTATATTCCGGATGGGTTGGAATATCGAGTTTCTTTATTTGTCGGATAGGGAATGCGAAACCGTAATAAATTGGCCTACATAAAGCCTCTTGCTGAATCTGAATGGCACTCAGAAGAGCCTATTCATGCCTTTTTCCGGAATTCATGGAAACAAGATCATTGTTTGTTACTCACATTGACATCCTTCCTTCGCGCCGAAGCTCACCAACATTTTCACCAATGGGCGGTTGTTGCTCAAAACTGCAATATCCAAAGGCGATAATCCATCTGTGTTCAAACTAGAAAAAAAATACAGAATGAAAAATAGTTATTTTTCTACACACGTCAAAAAATGACAAAGTTCGCGCATTGATAACAAATTGCGAAGTGACACTTTTTTCAGTTTCCTACGTTACCATGATACCTTGCACAAAACAATGCGCGAAGTAAAACAGTGCGCGAAGTACCTACTTCGCGCATTGTTATGTAAAATATATGAGATATTTATATTTTAACTTTATGATCCTCAATCGAGCAAACATCCACGGAATCATTAATTTCTGAATAATCAACAATAACTATGTTTTATCTCTTGGAGCGTACGGAAGGAAATGCCTATTATGTTCGTGGAACATCGTGCGTACCTAGGAAGGATAGGGGGAGGCCTTTCAAGCCAGTTCAACACTATTGTTTATATCAAGCTAAGCATATTTTTACTTTAGAACTATATTTTTGACGTTTGTAGAAAAAAATTTGTTTGCAACTCGAGTGCGAAATACTTTGGTCATCTCGACTATTTTTTTAACTCGGCTACGCCTCGTTAAAAAAATCAAATCTCGATCACCAAAGTAGCATTTCGCGCTCTAGATACAAAAATAACTATTTTTACAAATGTCAAAAAATGACAAAGTTCGCGCATTGATAAGACATTGCGAAGTGACACTTTTTTCCAGTTTCCTACGTTACCATGATACCTTGCACAAAACAATGCGCGAAGTAAAACAGTGCGCGAATTACCTACCTCGCGTATTGTTGTGTAAAATATATGAGATATTTATATTTCAACTTTCTGGTCCTCAATCGAGCAAACGTCCATGAAATCATTTATTTTTGAATGTTCAACAATCACTTTGTTCTATCTCTAGGAGCACACGAAAGGAAATTTCGATTATGTTCGTGGAACATCGTGCGTACCATTCAAGCCAGTTCAACACTATTTTTTATATCAAGCTAAGCATATTTTTGTTTGCAACTCGAGCGCGAAATACTTTGGTCATCTCGACTATATTTTTAACTCGGCTACGCCTCGTTAAAAAAATCAGATCGCAATCACCAAAGTAGCATTTTGCGCTCTAGATACAAAAATAACTATTCTCGGAAAGTGTACTTTTTTAGTATGCTTTGAGGAACTAGGAAAGGCGTCCACTATTTGATCACATTATTCAATGTTGCGAAGTGCTACATCATAAAATAAATACATTACTTACTTCTATTCTTTGAATTTGTGCAGTTGTAGAAGAAGTATAGTGTGCAACATGTGGAGAATATTACTTTTCTCACTTCTTGTTGCACAATATACTATTTCAACCTTTGCTTTATTAATCCATTGTCGATCTAAATGGAAACCTAGTTAGGTAGTTAGTAGGCGAGAGCATAATATTGTCTGTTCTTTGAAAAAATAAATGAAGGTGTTCAGTAGTACAGAGACATCAATGTGAACCAAGTAAACTAAGTTATTCTTTTTTTATTCCTAACCCAAACATTTTTCATGGTCCTGTCAAGTTTGTAAATAAAAATCTGTCATGTTGAAACCCAAAAATGAAACATTATTATGAAAGATATTATCAAGTATGAAAACCATCTACCTATACTTGAATGGAAGCAGGGAGATGTTTAGGCAATGCTGTATTAGGTTGACTTTTGATGCAACTTGAATTAAGTTGGAACTGTGGAAACTTCGGAAACTCATCAGTGCTTTCACACTTTTTCGACATGCAAGCCAAGCAGAAAGGTAGGGGCTGCTTATTTCCTTCTATATTTTTGATAAGTTACTATATAATTCATGAAATTCCGTTATTTGCAGTGAAAACATATCTTTAGTTATGTAAACTATGTACACATCGGATTCACTATACTTGAAAATTTCAGGTACCTACCTACAGCGAAGAGTACCTACATGAATAGCTTTTCAGTTGAAAAACGAAAAACTATGAGTGATGCAAACAGATTGATGTGGAAGAATCGCATGAGGAATTATTATGTGAGTAATGTTTAGAAATGTACCAGAAGGATGATGATGTTTGAGAACAGAATGGAAAATTTCCCATCTGAAATGAATATATAGAAGCAATAAGGTTAGACTCAATCTGTTTATTTCATCAATGTTTTATGGATATTCTGCTCCAAACTCAAAATATCAAGATGCTGGGATATTTAGAATTTTTTTTATTGGAAAATAACTTTTATATGTAGGAATGACAATACAATTAGGTATATTTTTTTAATAAATTGAATATAATTATGAAGAATTATTGCAATTTTTATTCTACTAATTTGTTCTCCTCTGATACCCTGTTTATTGTTGTACAGATTTATTGACAGGTAAGTTTGAAAACATTATATATTGTACCAAAGGTAAGTATTTAGGTTAAATATATGTTTTGCTGAACAATGATTATTTTTTATAAAATCATCTTATTGAAGCCACTAACTTCACTAGATACGAGAAGATGTGTCTATAATTGCCACAAATTAAACCATAGGAATATTCAATACCAATATGTATAACTTTTCAATTTATATTGTCAAAATTTTGAATAAACATTATTATTATTCATTATCATTCTATAATATCTGTTCAAATGCCCGTTTCCTCCTAAGATGCTTCCTCATCTTCAGGTCGTGTTCCTTAAGGAAGGAGTTTCTCTTCAGCATCATATTCCAAACTACATTGATGAGTCTGAAACTATAAAAATATTTGATATCTATTTTGTCCCCAGTTTCAATGTTCTGTACCATTCTGAAATGAATTCAATGACAATTGACTGGAACAATTTTTAGAGGTACCAAAGTCAAGTTCTTGGTAATTTTTATACTGAAACTTATAGTTTTAGTCAACTAGAAACTAATAAGCTGATTGCTACAAAAAGTTTGTATAGGTAGGAACTTGTTAAATATCATTTTATTTATATATACCTTCCTTAAACAAACTTGGAACCGAACCCTCCTTCCAAAACCGTTTCCAATTCTTCATTGGCAAGAAACAGTTCCCTTAAAATGTTGGAAACATACAGTATCATGTTCGCTCACTTCAAAAACTCCCATTCCTGAAATATCAATGCATCAAGTTTCAAATATTATACGATTTAAGAAAAAAATTTCACCTTGCAATCCAATGAATATGGCATAAACTCATTGATGCCTCAGGATTTGAGGCTCAAATTCACAACAGTGGGGATAGGAGAAACCAGGTCTTGATAATTTTACACCTCCACCTCCTGGAGTGCGAAGTTTTCAGATAACATTGCAAAATAACACAATCGCACTCACAAACCAATCAACAAACTGCAATAGAAAACTAATACTAGAAGAAACAATTAGGAATAATTGTAATTTTCAAGAATACGAATTCAAAGTTCAACATATTCACAAAGACGAAATTATAAGTTAATGACAACTGTCAGAAAATAATTTTTTGATTATGACATCTCAATCTCATGAAAGAATCTTCTTCATCGCCTTTGTATCGAATATCACGTCAATGATGGAAAGCACATCTGTGGTTGATTAACATATTGGAAAAAAATAGAAGAAGACAATATCAACCTAATATGGTCTATTTTGACATAAACAAATGAGCTTTTTCCATTTTCAGGATGCCAGCCACTTGACAGGCAGACAGATTTTGATTCAAAGAACAGACAATATTGTACCTCCTCGCGTACTAGGTCGCCTACTAGGTTTTCATTTAGATCGACAATGATTAATCAATCAGACCTTATTGACACTGTTAAGTCTCAAGACAAAATTGATGTTATCATTATTTGATATCCACACTAGTGAGCGGAAATAATTAAGTTTACTTACCTGTTGACGTCTACATCAGTAGATTCCAATATCGTTCTGGCTTTTTCCAAATATCCATGTTGGACGGCATCAAATAAAGCTGCAAAAAATAGGTTTGATTAGTCTAAAACATATTATGAAGGTTCGCTCAGTGGTAAATAGTACATTGTTTAACGAGCACGGAATGATGGTGATTTCCGACGAGGATGAAGTTTGCAGCATGAGCTGTAGGCGACATTTTTTTTATGTTCTTTTAGAGTGCACTTAGTGCAGTATATGTTAGTGTTAAAGCTTCTATGATGTCCTTTACTCATTGTTATGCCATTTATGCTTGGCCACATGTATATACATAATGAAATACAGGGTTCTCTGTTTGAAATATCAATGTTGCAACTACTTTCTAGTAGAAGCGGCAACACTGTATTGTCGAAAATATTTCAAATGAAGAGAGCGTATTCTGAGATACAAGCATGTATATTTTCATGGATTTCTCCTGACTGATTCTTGATATAGAGATAGTGTAAGCTCGTTGTGACATACCCTGTATGTAAGGTTGTCATTACCAACGTCATTGAAGGTTGGGAAGTGTCACATTACACATCTCTACTTCTCGCCCTCACTAATATAATATTTTAGGTTGTAATAAATAAAATAGTATACAAATTTCTGTAGGAAGTTTCATTCCTGTCTCGAGATCATAGCTAACCTCACGACAGGATTGAATCTCTTTTCACCTCGGTGTGTAATATACTATTATTTCAAAATAAGTTTACTCAAATCATACATCATTGCCAAGGAGTTGTTCACATATTAATTGGTAGGTACTATAGTAACAAAAACTTTTGAAACTTCTCAAACTATTAAATCAATATGGTTTGATTATTGATTGGTCAATTTCAATATGAGAATGTGTCCGGTATGTTTCTGAAAGTTTCATGATATTTACTACTGAAAACAAAGTGATAAGAAGAAATAGGTCAACGTAACAATAGAAGTCGAAATCATTTTCGTGCTCTAGGATATTTGAGAACGGACAATTCAAAGAAAGATAAATCAATGTGACTTCCTAAATTATCTTTATCAATCTGAAAATATGCCCAATTTGTATATCTCAAATTCGATGTCTTGTTTTTTATTGTTGATTTTATATAATTAATTATATGAGCAAAGGAATATTGAGGGCACTGTGTCCAACGTCTGAGAAGAAAATAATAGACCTAACCCTCATAAAGAATCAACCGTTACTGATGAGGGCTGAAAGCCCGAAACACGTGTATATGGTTAACTGTTCATGAAGGCATGTCAATTATTTTCTTCTTAGTGGTTTAAAAACCCCTCCGATATTCCTTTTTTCATATTTTGTTATGGAATGCAGAGTCTGCTGACCAGAACCACAAATGTGTGATTTGTTGATTAGTCTTCTACCAAGTGTTGCCTATCCTCAACACTATTTTCACTCTACTGATGAAGTTTGAAAGCTCGAAACACGTGTCTATAGTTAACACTTTATGAGGACTATGTCCAAAGACTCAGTCGTTCAAATAATTATACATATAGGCACATTGCACAACTAGTTTCTCTTCTTCTTCTTTCGTTTTTCTTAGATTTCAGACTCCTTGCGGTCCAATTTCAACAGATTTGGTGTTGATGAAATCAGTTGATACAAAGAAAAGTTAGGATCTGAAATAATTCATTGTTATTTCTTTCAAACTAAATAGTTTTTTCACATTATTCCTTGTCAAACCTATACTGATAAAAGCTAAAATTACGATAACTATATTTTTCAATCGATCACAGCAATTTTATGGACAAGTATTTTTATTACTGGTATGCGTTGACTGAAAATGTTACATAATCATAGTAAGTAGGTGCCTATCATAAAAAAATTTGAGCAATTTAGTCCAGAAAATTGCCTTGTAATCAGTATACCGATATCGTTGATGTTTTATATTATCATTGAGTATATTATCTTGTTTCCTGTGAACATACACCACAAATTCATTCGTATGATAATAAATAATGTAGTACCCACTGTTTGAAATAAATGGGTTGAGAGCTGCTATCGTGTAATGGAGATAGTTATTTATTATACAAGGGATAAAAGTATTAGATTTTAACTCAAGGTTATGGTTGCCGACGCATAGTGGGGGAGACAAAAACCTATTTTTTTCTGTGACATTAAAAACGTCGATCGAATATTATAACCCAATGTCAGCATGGCTTTCGTCCTGGCCATTCCATCGAAACAGCTTCGGCGGATTTGGTTCAGTATATTTACGCTAATATTAATGAAAACAACATGGTAGTGGGAATATTCCTCGACCACTCTCGTGCATTCGACACAATTAACTCCAAATACTTGACAATGAAACTCGAATCGATGGGCATACGAGGCCTTATACAAGACTTGATCCAATCCTATATGTCTGGCAGAGCACTCAGGGTACAGGTTGGCGAGTCGGATAGCTATATAGGTATGACATTTTGATTGGAACTCCTCAAGGTGGAGTTCTAGGCCCACTACTTTTCCTACTCTATATAAATGACCTCCCTGCCAGATGAAACTACAATTATCGTTGCAGCTGAAACTGTAACCGAATTAAATGAGAAAGTAAAGCTTGTTACAGAAAATTTCAAACAATGAATGGGGGCTCCTGAATATGATATTTCTCGAATATTTCCGAAACGTCATATGATAAAATGATGCAATTTGGTACAAGAACTAAACCTCCCTTGCCCAATGCAAAAATCAACTACTTTTTTTCAATAAACAGGCTGAGATGGAATAGGAAGATCATACTTACTATTCCAAGCAGAGAAGAATGGAGAAAACAATACAGTGTAGTTTCGCCCAGGAAGCTTAGTGTGTTACAGTGTTACTCAGACGGATCCCGTCTGACTGACAAACAGGCCTCGGGCGCAGGGATCTATCTCGAAGGGAGAAACATACGAGAAAGCTACGCTCTAGGAAAATACACAACAGATTTCCAAGCTGGGGTGTTCGCCATCCTGGTCGTAGCAGAGAGGCAAGAGGTGGAAGAGGGACCAGAGCAGAAGATCTACATCTGTTCGGATAGTCAGGCAGCACTCAAGGCTATCTGTCATCCCAGACCAAGCTCAGCATTGGTACATGAATGTGGAAGAGCCCTTGAGATATTAGCCGAATCAAAGGAAGTTGAACTAGTATGGGTCCCGGGTCACAGTGGGGTGCCCGGAAACGAAATAGCAGAAGAACTTGCTAGGGCCAGATCCACGGAGCCGTTTCTGTGGGACCGGAGCCAAATCACGTCAGCCCTCGATGAATGGCTGGACAAGGCTCTAGGTGGATACTGGAGAAATATCACAGGTTGCAGGCAGGCCAAGGAATTCATGGCCGGTCCAAGCAAATCAAGGAAGGAGTGGCTGCTTGGCAGAGACAGCCAAGTACTCTGCCTCCTCATAGGAGTACTCACAGGACACAACAGGCTAGGCAGACACCTATCACTTATGGGAATAGAGGACAACCCGACTTGCCGCAGATGCGGGGAAGACGCATTTCCTCGTCGAGTACGAGGCGTACGGAAGGCTGAGATTTGAAATCTTTGGGGTAGACAAACTCCAACAAGAGGACTTGATTATATTAGAGTGGACGGACATACTGGCCTTCATCAGAAGGTCAGGGAGATTCGTAAAGGAAATCTAGGTGAAGGAAGCGTATATATGTGGAGAGCAGGGGTTAGCAAAAAGGGCCCATCGGGGCCTACTTGCTTGGCTACAGCCTCCCCACCTACTACTACTGCTACTACTACTACCAAACAATCTCATGAAAGAGCAAAAAATAGGAAATTGATATTGAAAAAACTACTTAAATTTTTGTGAATTTGTTTCCATTTCCACTACGACTCATTACAATGTTATGCATAATATCTGAGATGTAACACTATTTTTGAATCGCTTTCACTCGATAATATGATCGTTACCGAACAAGAATACCTTTTTTCTGTAAAGAAGTGTGAATTTTAAATTCCGATCATATTATTATGTTTACATATTTTATGTTATAGTCCGAGGGCGGTAATGTGCCACTTCACACCTACAAAACCAGGCGGTAAAGTGCTACTTCACGATCTACGTTTATCCTTCGGCCATGCCGCAGTCCATGATCGCCTACTTTACCTCCTTGATACACGAATAACTATTATGAAAAGTGACATTCGTTACATGTCAACAGAGATGAAATGCCAAAATTTTTACTCGTCACAAAAAAATAGGGTATCTATTTGACATACTATAGATGAAGATATTTCCTGTCTGTAGAAATATGAATTCAATTCACTAATGTCCAAAATGGCGGACGTTGTGATGGCATTTATTGATCTGATGGTTTGTCCATAAAGAGATACGAGTTTTAGCTTACCTTATCACGAAAGGAAATAGCGTGATAAACTACATTGAAAAACATGAATTTTTAATTTCTTATTCCAGACGTAACTGTAACTTGATGATTCCTTATATTTACCTGGTTAGATATCATTTGAACTGAGAAAAATGTGTACTGACTGTACAGTGAGTGAAATATCAAGAAATTCCATGAACGACATGAAAACAAGATAGTGTCAATTAATTTTAGATGAAGTGGGCTATAAAGAAGAAACTACCACCAAGTTGAATAGACTACGACTGTATACATACTAATTGAGTAGGTATACCCTAAGGGTCGCCTTTTCATGGAGGGAGGATTACAATTTTTATTTCTTCTGATTATGAATGTGTGTGTTGATAACATTATAATGATGTTTCATGAAATAATGATCATGTGAAGGTTCGTCCTAATTTTCTTAGTTTTCAAGATATAGGGTATTAATGTTTTTTTAAAAAAATCTCTCTTTTCTCATTTAATCTGAAGCGTTCTTGATGATTTCGATAAAACTTGACGGTTTCAATTCGAAATAATTATTCCAGTAACGTTGCAATGGGTTACATTATCATGGTGAAAATCATTGTACGCCACTGTTTTTTTTCATATTTTTATCCGATTGAAAAATTGAGAATACATTTTATGTCCCCATATAGTGTTACTTTTGTATCTCGCTTAGTTTTTCAGGAAACAAAAAACAATCA